CTTCTCTATATAAACTTCACCATAATTCATTATTTTTTCATCCACACCAAAAACTCTTCAAATTCTCTTGTCTATTTTCTGCTAGGATTCTCTCAAAAGTCTCTTTAATTTGTTTCCACTTCTAGGAGTTTTGGTTACAACTATGGGGTTACAAAATATGATTTTGATGACTTTCATAGTTGCCTCAATTGTTATTCAACACGGGAATTGTCGGGTCGGTTATCATCACCATCATCACCATCATCACCATCATCACCACCATCACCACCATCTCAAAAATAATAGCAACCTAAATGATTATGGTTTTGTTAAAAGAAATGAAACCCATTTTATTTTAAATGGGAAGGTACATTATGTGAATGGGTTTAATTCATATTGGTTAATGTATGAGGCATCAGACCCATCTACTACAATTAATGTTACTTCTGTATTCAAAGAAGCATCGAAGATTGGTTTAAATGTAGCAAGAACATGGGCTTTCAGTGATGGAGGTTATAGAGCCCTTCAAATTTCACCTGGTTCTTATGATGAAAATGTGTTTAAGGTAAATATTTGTGTCTTAATCGATTAATTAATTACTTTTATGTTACATAAAAAATGCTTCTCTTTTGTTTACATATACATATAAATGTATGTTTTCAGCATAAATTCATGGATATATATACATAGGATCATATACTAACTTATTATCTAACTATTCATTATTATCTCTAAGAAAATGAGAAGCTTTGAGAAAGAGGTAGTGGATTAACAATCCAAGTAAAACTAATACCTCTTTGTCTCGGTCATGCCTTCCATTGTCTTGGTCACATGGCGCTCGGTCATGCCAGCCTTTGTCTCGGTCACGTGACCAATTGCATCGGCCAACTTGTCATGCGCTGGCTCGACTATCTGGCCTGCTTTCTCGATTAGAATGTCTTGCACTGGCTCAACCGTCAGGCCTGTTTCCTCGGTCAGAATTAATGTCTAGCACTGACTCGATCAACTGGCATTCTCCCTAAGTCATGGTGCATATGGAGTTGATTTTAGCTTCATGATTTGATATTATCTTAGAGTTATATTACTTATATAACAAAGTTAACAATATATAGGCATTCACTCGCACATAAATTTATCTTTGTATAGAATATGTCTCTTATTTTATGATTTTTTTTTGGTTATTTAAATTATATAGTTTGATGAATTTGGTGAAATGCATTTGGATGTGTAGGGACTAGATTTGGTGGTATCAGAAGCAGGAAAAAATGGGGTGAGATTAATACTAAGTTTGGTGAATAATTGGAATGATTTTGGTGGCAAAAACAAATATGTTCAATGGGCAAAAGATAAGGGCCAAGATTTGAAGAATGATGATGATTTTTATACAAACCCCACTGTTAAGCAATATTACAAAGACCATATCAAGGTATTGTATTTTAACACTCGTCCATTAATTAAGAGACAAATATATGTTAAAAATATTTTTATCCTGAAATGACACTTATATCATTAAAAATATAAGAAAAAATAAATATTTATCTCTTAATCAATGGAGATGATAATTTTTCAATTTAGTTATACTTTTTTCTTATACAAATGTGCATAATTGATAATTCCCAAGCTATACAACTCAAGCATAAATTTTTTTATCACATGGAGAAACTAAATATTTATAAAAGAAAAGCATTTTTTACCAATTAGTCCCTCTATGTTGTTTTTTTTAAGTATTTAGCCTCTCAACACAAATAAAAAATATTTATATAATTGTATATACACTAAATAGTTATATAATTTGGTAGTATTTCACAAACATAGAAAATAAACATTATTTAGATTATTATTTCTTAACATACTGGTTTTGAATATTATTTATTTCTCATTACACTTGGATTTAGTAATAATATATATGCTAATGATTAACTAATTGTAGAAGACCATATATACTATATAGTTTGGAACCTTAGTATATATTTTACAACAATCATCGAAAAAATATTCCATCAATTTGATGTATATGGTGAACTAATAATTGGAGAATATTGCTGTTGTTTTTTTATAAGTATTTAGCCTCTCTACACAAATAAAAAATATTTAGATAATTTTTTATACACTAAATACTTATATAATTTAGTAGTATTTCAAAAACATAGAAAATAAACATTATTTAGAATATTATTTCTTAAAATACTGGCATTTGAATATTTATTTCTCATTATACTTGTATTTAATTAGTAATACTCTAATGATTAGGTAATTATAGAAGACCATATATAAATATATAGTTTGGAACCTTAGTAAATATTTTACAACAATCATAGAAAAAATGTTCCATTAATTTGATGTATATGGTGAACTAATAATTGGAGAAATATTGCAGGCTGTGTTGACAAGAAATAACAGTATAAGTGGGATATTATATAAGGATGACCCTTCCATTTTTGCATGGGAGCTTATCAATGAACCTCGTTCAAAAACTGATTATACTGGAAAATCAATTCAGGTCTTTTTCTTTACTTTAATATTATTTGTTCAATTATTAAAGTGACTGTGTTAGAGTTTTTTATTCAGCTGAATGTTGTGAAATCCGAGTCGGACGTTAAACTGGAAGAAATCTTGTATTAAGTTTAACCGGTTAACTGGTTAAATCCTCCGGTCTGATCGGGTGATTTGATACATAATTAACAGTTTTTAAGTGAACTGTCTGGTTTAATCCGGTGTAATCGGGTTTAACATGGTCGGACCAGAATTTTCCCGGTTCAAAGCAGTCAAACCCTCATTTGGTTAAGACTATAAACCAAAGAGGTTTTCAAGTCCGGTCAGCAATCAAACCGGTCGGACCGTCCAGTACGGTCCCGTTCTCACACCACTAAATTACAGCTTCTCACATGATTATAGTCCCTCACTCAAATATTTCACATGAATACACATAGGATTCAAATATTTTGATATTATTTCATTAATATTTGTTATAGGATTGGGTGAGTGAAATGGGTGCATATGTGAAATCAATAGATGGAAATCATTTATTAGAAATAGGACTTGAAGGATTCTATGGTGAATCAATACCTGAAAAAAAGAAGTTCAATCCTGGATACCAAGTTGGAACTGATTTCATTTCCAACAATCAAATTCCACAAATTGATTTTGCAACCATTCATCTTTACCCTGATCAATGGTAATAATTTCTCTATATATTTATTCTCATCTAATAACATTTTTTTACGACACAGATCATATGTCCTAAAAAAAGTATGTCATTATGTTCCAAGTCAATCATATTCTACCAAGTAATAAAAGTAAACTATTTTTTTTTTATGATTTTTGAATTAATTGGTATTTTTTGATTAGATTGAGACATGATGGACATTTGATCTTCACTCATCATTTTACAATTGATTTGTATTACCAACATAATAATATACGAATGCAGGGTAGCTAGTGGGGGCCAAGAAGCCCAAGATGCATTTGTTGATAAATGGGTTCAAGCCCATATCCAAGACTCAAATGACATTTTGAAAAAGCCCATTCTCATAAGTGAGTTTGGAAAATCTACAAAATCAATTGGGTATAGTGTGGAGAAAAGGGACATTTATTTTCAAAATATATATAAGGCTATTTACAATAGTGCTAGCAATGGGGGCCCATGTGCTGGTGGGCTTTTTTGGCAGCTTTTGACAAAAGGAATGGATAACTTAAAAGATGGTTATGAAGTCATCTTTGAGGAGAGTCCTTCAACAACAAATGTCATATCTCATCAATCTGAAATTATGTTAAAGCTTTAATAGCATTATAATCTCAAGTAATGAGAAAAATAGCTATTACATCATTATAACATAGAAATAAGAACATGGTGATAAAATTTCCATTCAATAAATAAATATGACAATTTGTTGTAGTATTATTTACCTATGTAAAAAGATTTGATCCAAATGATTATAATCTTGTAATCACTTTTTTTTGCTTTGTTGGGTGAAGGCTAGAGATGTTTGGCACCACATACATCCTTGTATGGTTTGAATTTAGTTTTGCATTTGTGGACATTTTTTTTATTTTATTTAATATTTGATGATAAGATATTATAGTGTTTTCCAAGAATTTTGTATGATATTATTAACTCAATCAAAACAAATCTTCACTAAAGTAATCTTTACTAAATGATGTAGCTCAACTTTAGTGAAGATTTTAATGGAATGATATAATTAGCCAATAAAGATTAAGAAAGACGTAATATTTATGAATATGAGTGGAAATATTTATATAGAATCAATATATTATTAATTATTATATTTTTAAAAAGTTCATGATAATTATATTTAAATGATAAATGTTTTTTATATGACTACAAAATTGTAAGATCCAGTATATTTCTTAAAAATATTATAAGTTAATGAGAATCTCTCTATAAATTCAACTCTTGTATAAACTATTGAATTGTTTTGTTACTAAATTTCGAAGGTAAGATAAGTTGATTAAGATTAATTTATGCATATTTATATTACTATATACTTTACCATTCTTCTTTGTTTTGTTTTCCATTTTTGATATCAAAGACCTTTTCTTTTTTGATGTTGTTTGAACAAGTTTATATAGCTTAGGGAATATTATTGTATATATATATATATATATTAGAAAATGAAGCTTATTTATGACAAATAAATACTTTAAATAATAATATAAAACTAACTCTATGAATATGCATAAAAATATATCATTTATTGTACCAACGTTTTTGTTAATAATAGAATAAAGCAAAATTTGAATTAGTCAATCTAAATGAATCTTTTTAAATAATTTGGCCAATCATAGATTTTTTGGTTAACCGTTAAAGAAGCAAAGTTTTAGTTTAAAAGAAGTTTGAATATTGATATGATTCATAAATTAGGAAGATATGAAAAACGAAATCTATTTATTACCAAATATTATTATTACATGTTATAATTCCCACTCTATAAATTGAAGTGTTAGTTGCATTACTTTGTCACACTCAATTTCACACAACTGGTACCAACCAACATCTTTAACCTTGGTATGTTTATAGTTTAATCTTCTTCTCTCTTTTTCTTTTCCTATGATGTTCTTTTCTATGTTTTGTAACACCCTAAATTTAAGTCTTTAAAATTATAGTATCAGTCCTGGGATTCTTGCTTGAGCGAGAGATTCTCGCCTAGGCGAGAAAGGCTCACCTGAGATGGTGAAATCCTTGGCTATAGTGGAGGATTTTCGACTGAGCGAGAGTTGTCTCGTATGGGCGAGAAATGGCATTTTGGGATTGTTGAGACTGTGAGATTCTCGCTTGAGCGAGAGGGTCAGATCTAAGTTTTTAAAACATGCGAGATTTTCTCGCTTGAGCGAGAAAGGGCTCGCTTAAGCGAGAACCCGATGCTGTTACATTAAATAGGGGACCCCAAACACATTTGCGAGAGTTAACCTAGAAAGAAGGGAGAAAAGTGAACATTTTCAAGAACAAGAAGGCCTGTGAGTCATTTAGAAGTTTGAGAAGAGGTAGATCTCTTGATTCTAACTCTTTTCTTCCCTTTGAAACTTGTTTTGGGTATGTTTGATCTCTTCTCAAAATGAGAGAAACCATAGAAACTCACCTTTTTGAGTTATGGTTCGTTTTATGTTATTTTATCTTGTAAACTCTTGGTATGGAGTTAGTATTTCAAAAAAGGAGAGAGTTTGTGGATTGATTCATGAAAACCCCAAAACCCTAAAGAGAAAATGGGGTTAAGATGGAAAATGGGTAAAATGTTAGAAGTAGAAGATGAGTTTACTTTCTAATGTTGAAAATATGAGATGAATATGTATGTTTTAGATGTTGTAAACTTATGATGAAAGTAGTTTAGCAACATTGAAAATATGATGAATATCTTGTATGGTTAAATGATGCAATATAAGTTGCTTATGTGATATTGGGAATAAATGACTAACATTGTGTTGTATGGTGGGAATGAGGAAAAATCCTAGAGTTGGTGGCGGTGTCGGTGGAACTAATACAGTTACCAAGTACCCAACCCAACACTCACCAAGGTAAGGATAAGTCTTTAATTTGTGCAATTGAAATGGAAAATGTGTGTATTTTCTGGTTGTGCAAGGATTAATTGTTGAATCACGTATTTATTATAAACATATATGCGTGGATTAACTGGATATGATTGATAATGAAATCAATGAAAAAGGAAATATATTTTTAGCCGACCATAAATGGTTAGCGACTTCGGTTCGAGTTTACGTAGCAACACTTCGACCCGAGTTTATGCGGCATGTTTTCTTTGTAAAAGAGATGAGAAATCGCTTTTAGCTAACCCTAAGGGGTGTAGTGACTTTGGCTCAAGTAATGTAGCACGGAAAATGAGTTTCAAAGTGATTTACTAACCTTTTATAATGTGGATTATCTTATAATGACATTTATTGAATTAATGACTTACTCTTTTATGTTTTGTGTTTTTATCATTGATAATCTCATTGCAGATAAACAGTTGACATGAGGTGGTCTTATTTTTGAAAGCTTAGGGAGCTTTATGTTTTATTTTCACTTATTTGCACTATTTTGTACATGAGTGTTTATTGGATTACTTGAAATATTTTGTAACTATGGATATATAACTTACCTGATTTATTGTGACTCTGGATATTCGTAGCTATGAGTATTTTGGAAACCAATAGCTAGTTGTATGCTGTAGTCACTAAGGATCAATTGAATGAATTATGTTTTTATGCAATATGAAATGTATGGTAACATAATATGTTAAAAAGTGGTTTTACGGAGTGATTAATGAGAGATTAAAGTAAGATGATGAATGTATGCATGAAAGGATTAAAATAAAGGAAAAAAAAATTTCAAGGGTAGAATTTCGATCCTTACATGTTCATCTTCTTATGTCTTTCTTTATTCAAAGTTCATACCTTTCTTCCTATAATTATTTTCGAAACTGTTTGTTTTAATATATGCTTTAATCAATTTAAGAATTGAACTTATTAAAGAAACAAGATGAGGTTGGGAAAATCAGAAATGGTTGCAGAAGATGGCGCGTGTGGTCACGCGCCACCATGTCCGGGATTGTGATTTCAGCACCGTTGAAGGGATAGGTGAAATGTAACACCCTAAATTTACGTCTTTAAAAATTATAGTATCAGTCTTCAGATTCTCGCTTGAGAGAGGTATTCTCGCCTGGGCGAGGAAGGCTCACCTGGGAGGGTGAAATCCTGGGCTATACTGGAGGATTCTCGCCTGAGCGAGGGTTGGCTCGCCTAGGCGAGAAAAATGATGTTTTGGACCTGTCGAGACTGTAAGATTATCGCTTGAGTGAGAGGATCCTCGCTTGAGCGAGAGGGTCAGATCTGAGTTTTTAAAATAGGCGAGATTTTCTCGCTTGAGCGAGAAAGGGCTCGCTTAAGCGAGAATCCGACGCTGTTACATTAAATAGGGAACCCCAAACACATTTATGAGGGTTAAGCTAGAGAGAAGTGAGAGAAGAAAACTTTTTCAAGAGCAATGAGACTTGTGAGTCATTTAGAAGCTTGAGAAGAGGTAAAGCTCTTGATTCTAACTCTCTTCTTCCCTTTGAAACTTATTTTGGGTATGTTGGATCTGTTCTCAAAATGAGGGAAACCATAGAAACTCATCTTTTCCAGTTATGGTTCGTTTTATGTTGTTTCTATCTTGTAAACTCTTGGTTTAGAGTTAGTATTTCAAGAATGGAAAGGTTTGGGTTGATTCATGAAAACCCCAAAACCCTAAAGTGAAAAGGGGGTTAAAGAGGAAAATGAGTAAAATGCTAGAGATAGAAGATGACTAAGCATTCTAATATTGAAATATGAGATAAATATGTATGTTTTAGATGTTTGTAAACTTATGATGGAAGTAGTTTATAAACATTGAAAATATGATAAACATCTTGTATGGTTAAATATATGAGTTATTTATGTGATATTGGAATAAATGACTAACATTTTGTTGTATGGTGGGATGAGGAAATATCCTAAAATTGGAGGCAGTGTCGGTGGAACTTGAGAAATTGCCAAGAACCAAACCCAACACTCATCGAGCTAAGGATAAGTCTTTAACTTATGCATTGTGATAGAAAATGCGTGAATTTTCTGTTGTGGATAATGAAATGTAATGTAAATCACTTAGTCGTTACAAGCATATATGAGTATGTTTGTAGTGATGAGGAGTGAATTTAATGTTTATGTATTGGTGGAGTACCAATGGAAATAAAACTCGGAATAATGAAATGAATCGTAAATCACTTTGTAGTTATAAGCATATATGGATATGTTTGTAATGATGTCGGGTGCATTTATTGTCTTTGTATTGGTGGAGTGCCAATGAAAATAAAACTCGGAAAATGTATTGGTGGAGTGCCAATGGAAATAAAACTCATTTTTAGCCGACCATGATTGGTTAGCGACTTTGTCTCAAGTAACGTAGCAACAAGCTTTGGCTCAAGCAATGTAGCAAACTTTGGCTCAAGTAATGTAGCGAGCTTTGGCTCAAGCAATGTAGCAAACTTTGGCTCAAGTTATGTAACATGAGTGTTTTGGAAACTCATAGCTAATTGTATGCGGTACTTACTAAGTTACATTAATACGAATTATGTTTTTCTGTCATCTAATTTGATATGTTACTTTTGGTTTATAGATTGGGTGTGATGAGGGAGGTGAGATCTTTTAAATAAGTTCATTCAATCGGTAATTATAATTTATAATTAAATGCATGAAATTAGATTAAATTAAGGAAAAAAATTCAATGGTAGAATTTGAGTCCTTACATGAAAAATGTGATTTTTACAAATGGGGTAGTGTTTTAGTGTTCTCTCTTTCAAATTCAAGAATTAATTTCTCCAATACACATGCAATGCTTTATATGAATACTCAGATTTTTCTATATCTAACTTAACACAACAATGTAAAGGAATTGAGACTTTGAGATAAATTCTCTGTCTTTTATTAGTATTATTATTATTTTTTCAATTTCAGCAACTAGGGTATGGTTAATTTGATGACACCATGTTCTGTTTTATGAACTGATTTGAGTTTTTATGAATGTAACAGATAATAATGGGTCGTTCAAGATTAACCTTGAAGCGCATAGAAAATGATGCATGCCGGAAATCAACCTTCAAGCAAAGAAGGGATGTACTTCTGAATAAAATGAAAGAACTTTCCAATTTCTGTAATGCTGAAGAAGGTGAAGCTGCCAATGCTTGTTTGATAGTTTATGATACGATTGGTGGTAATCCTCAACCAGTGACATGGCCTAGAAACCTTAACGTGGAGCACTCCCTCATTCAATGGTTTGAGAGTGAAAAGAATGAAGAAGCTCCGATTATGTTCGGTATCCAAGACTACTTCAAGAATAAGACAGACAAGGTTGAGGCTGATATTTCCAAAGTGAGGAAAGAAATCGTGAAAATTCAGTATCCAACTAGCCATCCATGTTTTAATAATCTCGGAGATGAGCAGATTAGGAATTTCCTTGCTGTGTTGGATGCTAAGGGTAGAGCCTGCACTGAAAGAATGAACATCTTGAGATTGCAACAACAAGTTCAAGTCAACTCGTCTCAACCGGTCTTGGATATGGATTCTCAATCTCAGATGCTTCACTTTGATCCAAATCCTATGCAGTTGATGGCAAACAATAATGGGATGATGGATTCTGCTAATGAAATTGGTTTGCCCTTGGATTGTGCTACACAAGTTGGCTCTCCGAATCATGTTGGTATTCCCTTCGATCTTACTATACAAAGTGATCCTGCTGTAGTTTCTGCAAATCAACTTGATGAGGTAGATTGGAGTAGCCTAATTGACGGGCTTATCGATTTTGATACTCTACCTCATGAGTTTGTTTTTTATGATGACTTTTTTGGATATTAGAATGTGCAACAAGGAGCAGCTTTCCATACCTTGACACCACCGGTGGATGAACTTCAAATACCTGACTACAATAATATGGTTCAATCAGATTTATTCAACCACATGAATCAAGAGAAGTAAATACAGATAATAGTTATTGTTATTCCGTATATATTTCGATTATCTGTTTTTTTATTGAGATGGAATGCATTTAGATTTGGAGACTAATATGCTAAGAAATACGAGTTTGTTTCGGGCATTTATTTGATCATAATGTAAGTATGCATTCATGTGTATAATAAAAGCTGCAAGTAGTTTTTCTATATGTTTCTTATGTTGTATCTCTTAGTGCTTTTGACCTAGATTTTATGAATTATTAATAGGTTAGAATGAGAATCTGTAGATATAATCATGGACTCCTAAAGTTATCAACTTTAAAGTTTGGAGATTCCAAACTTGAAGTATGTAGAGAATTTTACTTATGTATGCTTATGTAACTATTGGTTTTTGTGCATCAAACTTTACAATTCAGCATTATAAGCTAAGAATGTCATAATAGTAACAGTAAGAACACTTGTGCTGTATGGCTGACTAAATTAAGCAAAAAGTCTTAGAACACCACCTGAAGCTTAATTTGGTCACCATATAGGGCAAGTGTTTTGATTTCATCATGAATTTCATGAAATAGCTGCAACTTCTGTCCTCTTATTAAGAACATGATTTGACTCACTTGCATCTAAAATATTTCCCAGAAGAAATTCTTCCATAGTGCAGCTATTATTAGCATAAAAGTTTGACAAGTATTAATGTTTGTTTAATTTGTAGATATGATTGTATGTAAGTGTATATCCAGTTATGCATTTATGTAGGCATGCATGTACCTGTATACTTGAAATATTAATACATATGATATATTAAACATCAATAATAACAAGTAAAGAAAGGAAAGTAAAATTGAATTCATGTATACTGAAATGCAACAGGAACATTTACCCTTCATTAGTACTTCCAAAATCTGTGTCCTCAATAATTGCCATGATCTGTCTTTCACATGCATCACTAGTGTCAAGAAATTGTTTCTGATTTTCTAAGAAGTTTGTGTGTGAATCACATACCATATAAAGAATTTGGGATTCTTCATCTCTTGTAGTAAATAAGCCAACTCCTAAGATTCAGAAATGCTTTCCCTATACCCTTCAGAGGGCTGTAGCAAAAGAAACTCACAATCATAGCAAACTGGGAAAGGCACATAGCGCGGTGAGGTATATCCTATGAATGACATTCACAGGCTTAGCATGGCAATCACAAATCAGGAGCAAGCGGCCTGAGGTATATCTGTGGCAGGATTATGCAAACCCAACTAAGGCTCTAAATCCGACCTCCTAATCTCAGATACAACCTCGCCATGATCATCCTTGTAAAACATAGAAACCATAACCCTGTCATATCCAGTAAGTTTCTGCATTTCTTCAACAACTAGCTTCAAAAGTGAAATTTCCGTAGAAGCCACAGCTTTTGCAAGGGAAGCCTCAGAAGGAGGAGTGAAAAGGGTTGTGGCATCCCCTAATCAACCTCAATCAAATGTTTTGTATAAATGTTTTTCTGAGGCTGCAATGCTAATTATCTATAAAAATCCAAATGTATCATCTCCTTGCAGCTCCTCTCCACTTATCTATGTATATGTCTCTGTGTTTGGTGTTTTACTTGCAGCTTTTCTTCTCTTCTCATATCCATGTTGTTGATTCCTAAGAATTTGATGCAAAGGGTTTGCACATGTCCTTCTCATATATCTTGCTTAAAATCATTCCAGCAACTCTTTTTGTGCATTGCATATTTTTTAATGGAAATTTGTTCTCAAAATTCTTTGATTTGGATGGATGGGACAAGAGTTTGAGGATTTGAGCAAAGCTCTTGTGTGTTTTAACATTTTTTCTTATAATTGTTTAGAATCATTTTATCCACATGAGTATCTAGACTAACAACTTAAAAAGACAAGAAAGCCCCATGAGATTGAAGAATAAAGTAAAATTGGAGCTAAACAGAAGTTTGTTTGTAAAAATAGTTTGATTTTAAAAGTATGAATG